TCTGCTTCCTCCTCATTCTCTCTTGATGCTGCCATGTAAGAAATGCCTTTCATCTTCTGCCATGATTGTTGGACCTTCCCCAGTCATATGGAACTCTAAGTACAATTAAACCTTTTTCTTTTGTACATTACCCAGTCTTGGGTATGCCTTTGTCAGCAGCATGAAAATGAACTAATACAATCAACTTTTCAATTTCATGTATGGGAAAGGAAAACAAAATACAAAATGTTAACAGTAGTGGTTTTTGAGTTGTGAGCTACAGGTAATTTCTATTTTCATTTATTAACTTCTCCGTATGTTCTCAATTTTCTACAATAACCATAATTAGGGAGGAATGATTTGTTTAAAGGATTACCCTGAGACAGTAAAGTACAAACCCAAAGGAATGAATCTTTGTTGTTGAAATTGTAGGCACTATGGTAAGCTTGGGGGTGGGGATATGTCTGGCATCTCTCAAAGCACACAACACAGGCCACTGCCAGTCCAGTCCTCCTACGTGTACAACTGGCTTTGGCATCCAGACTTCAAAACTGAGATGCAGCCACTACTGCAAGGCTGACTGAAGCCTACATATGTTAGGGAGGCATGCCTGTGTTTTACCCCATTAATACGCAGTAAATAGATTATCTTTTAATCTCAGGTGGGTGCAAGGAAAGCGTTCATTGCAGTGTGCTTTCAATAGCGAGAGATTTAAAATAACCAGTGTCCATCATAGAGAATATAATCTCCAAAATTTAGATCTAAAAAAAAGGAATTTTATGGTACCTTCATCTTCTTAGTTAAGATTAATGTGCATGAATAATGTATTCTTTAGGAGAAACACAGCTGTTGAAACTATAAGATGTGAAGTGGTCATGCAGGAAAGGGAGGCTAATACTTGAACACCATTGACACCTACCTTGCTATTGGGTCCAAGACCTGATAGGTGTGAACATGTTCAAATACCATTCTTGGAACTGAATATAACACTGGAGAATTCATCACCAACCATGAAACAAGATAATATTGCTAAGTAGTTAGTTCTGAAAAATGAATTAACTCACACAGACCCTAAGAATATTCTAACAAAAAACTGCTGTATAATGTATGGAAATAAAGTTATAGTAACTAATCAACAAGATCTGCTGAAGAGATCAAAGATCCTATTTTTTGATAATGGAACATTGATATAATGTTTTTTATTTGACTTTTAAAAATCAGACTGGGTGCAGTGCTTCATGCCTGTAATCCCAGCACTTTGGGAGGCTGAGACGGGTGGATCACTTGAGGTCAGGAGTTCGAGACCAGCCTGGCCAACATGGTGTAACCCCCTCTTCTAAAAATGCAAAAATTAGCCGGGCATGGTTACAGGCACCTGTAATCTCAGCTACGGGGGAGGCTGAGGCAGGAGAATCACCTGAATCTGGGAGGCAGAGCTTGCAGTGAGCCATGATTGCACACTGTACTCCAGCCTGGGTGACAGAGCGAGACTCAGTCTAAAAAAAAAGTCAGCTTCCTGGGCAATAAGTTTTACCACCCAAATAAGTGTTTGGGGGCTACTAGAACTGAAAAAAAAAACTCTAAGAAACTTAATCCCAGACCAGTTTCACATAGAAACAAAAACAATTCAATTTGCTTAACTGTCGCTAACTTCACAAATACCATTTTTTAATCGTTAAAAAGAAACTTATAAGATGCTCCAAATGGAACTCTTTGAATATGTAATATGTACGTCTACTTAATAACACATACTAGAAGATAGTAAACCTTTAGTAGAGCCAAGATGCAGCTTAAATAAAGCAGAATTGGTAGACTCAAAGTAAAGCTTAGCTATGTGTCAGGGAGTCAATGTCCAGTCTGGACTGCAAAGCAGACTCGGAATCGTTTTGTTTGGAAACAATAAAGTTAAGGCAGGTATACAATCTAGGTCCAGAAACCCCCACCCAAACACTGCACGTGGGTCATCAACTGGGGCTGCTTCATTTTTACAGATGTAATTGCAAACACCAAAGTTTGTGATGTTTGTGATTTTAGAGAACAATGTTTCTGAGTGAGTAGGAAAGCTGTAGTCACTTGAAGAAGGGGGTTATTATGATACTTTACAGCTGCAGCACGTCCTTAGGAGACACTGCGTCCTGTTAACTTTGCAGCTGGCTTTATCTGTGCCTATTTTCTAGCCTGATGAACAGTTGGGCAGATTTTTTACCTTCTCTGTGTGAGCCAATTTTTACTTTCTTATGGGCAATCCTAAATGTCAAACACTGTATTGAGTGCTTTACATACATTATTTCATTTAATCTTAGCAACAATTCTTTGAGGCAAGTGCTAGCATCCTATTTTACAGATGGGGATACTGAGTCTTGGAGATGTTGAAGTGGTTTGGCCAGGTTTACACATAGCTAGTAAGTGGCAGACCCATTTCAAACCCGGTCTCCCTAACTCTAAATCTGGTCTTCTTAACATCTATCCTTCAAGCAGATGCAGAAATTAAAGACTATTCGAAGTGAAATGGGTAAAATCCAGAGCTGGTTATGAGCAAGTGGCAGGCTTATTCACTATAGCTAAAACCACGGATTGAAACAATTTTTCTGGAGGCCAGTTTGGCAAATAATGTAGTGAAAAAATTAACATGTACCCTTGAGCCAACAATTAATCTTCTAGAAATTTAAGAAAATAATTTCTAAACTGCACAGAGGCATGCATTAGAATTACAGCATGATTTACAAAAATAAACACACAAAAATAGAAACAATGTAAATATTTTTAGTAAGAAATTAGTTAAATGGCTAAAGAGATACAATGCAAGAGTATTCAACTATTAGTGATGAAAATATACTGTACAGTCAAAGGCATCAGATTACTGAAGAGCATTTATTGTTTTATTTTTATCTAATTTAATTTTAATTTTAATTTTTTTTTTGAGATGGAGTTTTGCTCTTGTTGCCAGGGCTAAAGTGCAATGGTGCGCTCTTGGCTCACCCCAGTCTCTGCTTCCCAGGTTCAAGCAGTTCTCCTGACTCAGCCTTCTGAGTAGCTGGGATTACAGGCATGCGCTGCAGTAGAGATAGGGTTTATCCATGTTGGTCAGGCTGGTCTTGAACTCCCGACCTCAGGTGAACTGCCCTTATTGGCCTCCCAAAGTGATGGGATTACAGGCATGAGCCATCGTGCCTGGTCTATTTTTATTTATTTATTTTTGAGACAGGGTCTCACTCTTGCCCAGGCTAGAGTACAGTGGGCCAATCTCGGCTCACTGCAGCTTCTGCCTCCCGGGTTCCAGTGATTCTTCTGTCTCAGCCTCCCAAGTAGCTGGGACTATAGATGTACACCACCATACCCAGCTAATTTTTGTATTTTTAGTAGAGACGGGGTTTCACCATGTTGGCCAGGCTGGTCTTGAACTCCTGACCTCAGGTGATTCGCCTGCCTCGCCTCTCAAAGTGCTGGGATTACAGGTGTGATTTTATTTTTATGTAAAATTGACAGTATATTTATATGTGCAAATATATAGAGAGAAATGTGTGGAAACATGTTTACTGTTTTTTCTGGCTTGAAAAAGTTTATTTTGAAACTTTTTGTACTGTTCTTTATTGTTGGAATAGTTTGTGAGTCTGTATCATTATTATAAAACAAAAACTATTTGAAAAAAAAGAATGTCAGTTAAATCAGTTCTTGCCTCAGTAACTGGAGTAATTTCATGCACACTAGCCATGTATTTTATAGAACTGGAAGTCTATTATGCTTTGGAGAAAATCCAACAGGTATGTTCTAAATCTTGGCCATAGAACTAGGATGTTTCTAGTCCACCAAATTAATGTATGGAGACAATAGGGTTTGGACTAAAACCAGTTCTATCTGGGCTATAAAAGTTAAATGTTGTCTTACGTTTTCATTTATAAATATCTTCCAAGCTTTTTCATTTAATTGGAGTTAGTTGTCCTTGTTGATTGGCATTGTATTTTGGGAGTAAAGAAATTTTAAACAGCTAAAGTAAATGGATTTTAGAAAGGCTACTTGTGGGGTCAGGAAGTAAATCTAATGAATCTTTTGGCCCTGTATTTAGGGTTGCTGGAGGTGGAGTTAAGGCAATGGGCCTGTTTAGTAAATGTAGATAGAGTCTGAGAGAAGTTGAATATGACCAGAGGAAAAAAAAATTACCAATTGGAGACATAAAAGGGTATTATAACTGCTTTGACAAGTGATTATGACTTGCAGAGGAGGGAGAAAAAAGTCAAAGGGTTATTACTTGAGAAACAGTACCACTTGGCTGGGTGCAGTGGCTCATGCCTGTAATCCCAGCACTTTAGGAGGCTGAGGCGGGCTGATTACCTGAGGTCAAGAGTTTGAGACCAGCCTGTCCAGCATAGTGAAACCTCATCTCTACTAAAAATACAAAAAATTAGCGGGGCATGGTGGCAGGTGCCTGTAATCCCAGCTACTTGGGAGGCTGAGGCAGGAGAATAGCTTGAACCCTGCAGGCAGAGGCTGCAGTGAGCTGAGGTCACGCCACTGTACTCCAGCCTGAGTGACAAGGGCAAAACTCTGTTTTGAAAAAAAAAAAGAAAGAAAGAAAGAAAAGAAACAGTACCACTCTAGAAAAGAACTCTCTCTCTTTAGCATGCATGGATGGTTATGGCAATATAAATAAGAGTGAAACTCCATCTCAAAAAAAAAAAAAAAAAAAAAAAAAAAAAAAAAAAAGAAACAGTACCACTCTAGAAAAGGAACTTTCTCTTTAGCTTGCATGGATGATTATGGTAGTGTAAATAATGCCTAAATAATTTGTCATTCAACAAAATCTTAGCACTGTGTGCCTTGAGGATGTTTTAAAGTTAATGAAGACCCTGGGCTGCAGAGTGGGAGACTGGAAGAAGGACATGCAGGCGTTGTTAACAGTTGAAGCTGTGGAAATAAACAGTCAACCGAAGCCAGAGGAGAGGAAGAAAAAAAAAAAACCTTGAGGATACCAACATTTTTTTATGGCCCTGTAAAAAAGGAGCAGCCCAAGAAAAGTGCAAACGATGGGAAGTTCAGAAATCAGGTAGAGACTTATGTTGAAGACGGGAGGAGAGGAGTTTCACAAAGCAGGAGTTAGCAGCATCACGTGCTGTAGAAAGGCCACAGGAGAGGAGGGCTGAAGTGGCCACTAGATTTGGCCCTCAGCAGTTACTAGAGTCCAGTGGAGACAGGAGTACCTTGTACAAGTGGCTCATTTGTTGGCACCAGAGGCCAGAACAAGCCACTTTCACATAGTCTGCACTGGACTAGATTGGGAAGTAGGCAGGCCCTACAGAAGGGGACAAAACTTGTGAGTGCCTGGGTATTTCCAGCTATTACTGGGGATGGGGACTCTGCCGGTGGCTAGAGGTATTGCTAAGCCAGAGCTCAGGAAATGCACCTAGGGCCCCAGTAGTAGGTCTTTGACAAGAATCAGGGGAATTAATACATAAATGAGTGAATATATGAATGCATGTGGGGGTGTGGTCTAGCGATTGCTTTGTAAGCATGACCAGGACAGGAAGAGGGTGGTGAGAGCCTGCAGTCGTACCCGCCTGTGGAAGAAGCTGCCCGTTGACTCAGAGAGGTGCCAGGGAGGTTGGTGTTTTCAAGGCTGTCAGGTTCCCCAGTTGGGAGAAGGGTGGGAAGGGCTTAAGGATTTACAGAGACTGATTTAGGGGAGAAGACACAGGAAGGGAAACAGCAGGAAACGCCGGGAGAGAGCAACAGCAGGACAGGATCGAGGAAGGGTAAGAGCGCTAAATGGGCTAAGAATGCAAGAAAGGCATGGATAGATGTATGCTGCACAAGGCACTTCCATGGCGAGTCCCTCATTCATCCTTAGGACAAGCCAGGGAGAGAGATAGGAATTATATACTGCATTGCCAGCCTTTGGAATGCCTGGTGCGGTCCAGATAAGGGCATCACGGCTCAGAGAGGCTGTTCAGCCGCTGTTCGATTCCTCCGGAGACAAGGAACACTCCGCTTTTGGAAGTAGCACTTCTATTAGAGAAGTGAAAAAAAAAAAAAAAATAGGGAGACAAGAAGAAAGGTGTGGGCCTCTTGAGGGGGAAAGATCTGTGAATGACAGACGTTTTAGATAATTCATGGAATTGCAGAGCCAGAACATGTCAGGCAGATCTTTTCATCTGTAAAACGAAGGGGGCAGACGATCTTTCTTTTCTCTCGTCTAACAGCCTGTGAAATCATCTAGGTAACCACCTCCCAATTTTACAGAATAAAAAACGAGGCCCGCGGGATGTGTCTCGCTCAAAGTCACAGAACACGCGAGTGGAGGGACAGGCCCGGAGCCGACTCCGCCCCGTCCTCAGGGCGTCTCGCCACTCGGCCACCTTCCCAGAAAGATAAAGAACAGCGGGAGGCGTCAGGCTGGGCGGCCTAGCTGCTAGTGCCCTGGGGTTCGAGGCCGCTTCCCGGCAGCAGTGGGAGGAACGCCCCGAGGGGAGGGCAGGGGAGGGAGGAGTTGAGAGGGGCGGGGAAGAGTTCGGGCCTCGTTTCCCACACTTCGTTAGGACGTGGGCTAGGGTGGGTCTGCGGCCGGCAGAGGGCGCGGGACAGCTCCTCGCTCTGCGGGCCCGGCGGGCTGGGGGCTGCCCCGGGCGCGCCGTCGGAGCTCGCGGGCAACGGGTCGCTGCTGCCCGCCCCGCTGGGAAAGCGGCGGGCGGCTGGGCGGCTGGGAGCGGGCGGGGCGGGGCGGGGCGGGGCGCGAAGGGGGCGGGGCCGCGAGTGGGGGGCGGTGGCGGCGGTGGCAGCCGAGGAGGAGAACATGGCGGCCGCGGAGAGCGGCTGAAATGCCTGTTCTTCAGGCCGGGAGAGCGAGAGTCTGACGCGATTTGCTGAGCCCTGTCCTCCGACGGCTGCACCCCGGCCTTGAGCGCCTCGGCCGCCTGTTCGCCGCTGCTCCCCCGAGCGGAGCCTGCGCCAGGTTCCTTTTGCATCCCCCCTGCTGGGGGACCCCTGCTCCGGAGGAGGGGGCCGGAGAGCCGCGGCGGCGGCGGCCGCCTGGGCCCCGGGGGCCCGGCGCCGGGCCCGAGGAGCGGCGGAGGCCGCGGCGGCGTCGTCACGGTCGCGGACGAGCGAGGCGCCGGTGAGCGCGGCCCACAGGCGGCGGCGGCAGGTGAGTGGCGGGCGGCGGGCGCGGAGCCTCCCGGTGGGTGCAGCTGTCACGAGCCGCGCGGCCGCCGAGGCCCTAGGGGGCGGGGAGCAGCTGGCACCCCTCCGCCCCCCGCTCTCCTTTCTCCCGCTCCATCCACCTCCCACTTCTCCGAGTTCCCCTCGCGGCCCGGCGCGGCTGGAGGGGGCGGAGGTCTCAGCTGTCACGGGCACCAGCTGGGGGCTGCTCCCCGCCGAGGGAAATCGCTGCAGCAGCGACTTCTCTCCGCCTCTTTTCCAGTTGCCCTAGTTAGCGCGGAGAGGGCGAGCATCCGCGGAGGGGGCGCGAGCTGCGCGGCCGCCCGCCCGGCGTGGGGACCCGGCGCCCGGGGCCGCCGCGGAAAGAGGGAGCCGGAAGTCGGCGCGGGCGCCCCTCGGCCCCGGCGACGCCGTGACCTTGGCCGGCTTGCTCACCTCTCGGAGTCTCGCCGGCCCGGACCGCGAAATGGGGGCGACCGCGGCGTCCGTTTCGGTCGGCGCAGCCCTCGACGGCGCTGGTGTTTGACCCCGGCGCGCTTGCTCGCCCCTTCTCCCGGGAAGGGGTTTCGGAGGTAGACATGGGGTGGATACGGGACATGTTCCTGTCGCGGCCGGGGCTTGGTCCTCTTCCTGGGATTCAGCCGAAAGGGCCGAGAAAGGGAAGCAAACATGTTGACGAGGCGATTGGGAGGTGGGGCTGGTTAGTGGGCAGTGACAGAATTCGGGCCGCTCTCTGGTCGATTGGAAAAGACCTGGAGGATCGGACACCAGGGTCTCCAGTCCTTACTACCCAGCCGTGGTGGCTGCTTTTTAATTTTATTTAAAAGGAATCACCCCCATGAGTAGACACTGCCCAGTCTGACGACGTTAGAGGGAGACGGAGGGGTTGACAGTACAGCCTGTGTGTGTGACAAGGACAGGCCACGGCGTTGTGGCCGGAGAGTTTCGTGGGAAGGAAAACTTTAAGCTGGAGGATCTGTTAGCCTCTCATGCTTGGCCCTCCTCGTTTCTTACAGAGGTGTTGAACAGGCAGGTGTGCTAGTGGAGAAGGTGACATTTTTTCTTCTTAGATGGTGAATTTTTAATGTTGAGTGTGATGTTGGTGAGTGAAGGGTTCTTGAGTGAATTGCAGTCCCAGCACCCTCTGTGGATGCCAAGAGAAATCTCTGCGGCGATGATTTGTGAGGGCTGGTGCTTACATTTCAGTGATTAAGAAATCAAGTGTCTGTTTAAAACATTGCTGCTGTGAAGCGTGGATTATGTGGTACAGTTGAGGGATGGATCTCAAGGGTTAAATTTGTTTGAGGTTTGTCTCCTCTTCTGGAATTGGTTGGAGGTTAGTCTCAAAAAAAAAAAAAAAAAAAAAAAAAAGCAAACAAAACGACAACAATAATAACAACAAAAGTTGGCCAGAGGGGCCTCAGCTTGTTCCACAGAAGCTATGATGTAGTAGGAAGGGGCCAGATTTCTTCATGTTGAGAATAATGTGAAAAGAAAGTATTTGCTTGGGTCTCTTGGCTCTTGAACTAGAAATAGTTTTGGGTTAAAGGTAGCAGTGGGGTTTGATTCAGCTGAACAAATAGGTGTTCCTGAACTATTTGCCATAAATTAGATAAAATGGAAGTTTTATCTCTTGTACTTTGTGGAAAGATCTAATTTGGTTTTGTGAACGAATGTCTGAAAGGTTTTCTGTTTCTTCAGACTCTATGCTTTGGTAACAGTGGGTCACAGAGAGGGTTTGAGTTGGGAATGTATGGGTTAGAGAGAAAATAGAGGACTGCTGATTAGAAGAACAGGTGTTTAGTTTGATTTTTGTAGATATTTTACACTGGTTATTTATTTAACAATGTTGAAGTTTGCTTTATAAGGTACAAAATGTGATTTTACATAGCTTATAGTTGATCTCTTCCTTATTTCTCTTAGAGAATCTTTAGGATTGTGCCTATTAAATTGCCTTTTTTGTGTGTTTTAAACCAAGAGAGTATTTTAGATCTACATTTTTGGATAAGTGGTTTTATTGGGTGGGGGGGGAAGTGCTTGATGGAACTAATGGTGATTGTTTCACTTAAACTGGGATTATATAGACAATGCTTTTTCCTCCCTCTTTCTGCCAACATTTGTTTTTGTTTCTCCCTCAATTTCAGGGTTTCGTTTCTAGAAATCTGGGCTGGAAACAGAAGCAGCAGTTTGTATAATCCCAAGATCTTGCTTATGCCAGGAAGCTGTAAGGGTGACATGAAGTGGGTGTGATGTAAAGACACTGCTACTACTTCAGACATTTAACTGTTGAGGGAGTCTAAGGTCAAACTTTAATTTTTGTTGAATTTCCTGTTTTCTGTGTATGTGTTAATCTTTTGGTGGGCAGAAGATTGGGTTGCTATGGTGCTAACTGGTGTATATTGTGAAAGTGCTGGCGACATTTCATGCTTTTACTCTATAGGGAAGGGTGGTAAACAAGCCTAAATAATTTAAAGATGTTCTCAGAATGGAATGTTCTCTGCATGTCCTCTTGATCCTGCTAATCCCGTGAGCAGTCCTCACAAGGACTAAATGTTGAGTAAGTGATGAGGGTGGTATAGAGGTGCTGAAAGGTGGAGTGGTGGAGAGAGGGTATTGAGCATTTCTTGAAATTCTTTTCCCTATATTGGACTGTATACTGGACTGGTTTATAATTGTTTTTCAAGGACGTTTTAGTTCTCCCTTCTTGGTTGCCATCAATTTCATAGACATTCTCTTAGATACTACCTGTTTCATACTTTAGTTTGTCTCTTTTGCTGCATCTTCCAAGGACCGCACATTGTTTGAATGTTACGTTGCATATCTTAATGGAGTTGGGTGGCCTTAAGCCATGTGGCTTAACATAGTTTTCATTTTAGAGCATGTGTGGGAGGTCAATACAAGCTCATAATATGTAGTAGAATCTAAGTCATGGAGCATAGGAGAGCCCTGGGATTCTCACGATTGTTTTGGCAGTGGTTTTTGCCTTCTAAATATGATTATAACAAATTCTCCAAGGACCATCAGCTGCTTTCCTGGCAGAGGTCCAAAAATGTTTTGGAGAGTTCCATTTTGCATTACTTGCACGTGCTGGATGCTGTGGTGGGTGTGGGATCAGGTGAAATCCATGTGTTTCAGGAGTTGGATGTCGGAACACTATCTGATCTGGGCTGCAGAACCAAATACATTTCTTCCCGTCTTATGTAACTTTCCTATCCATTTGGGAAGACGAGACTGTAGGAAAGGACTTTTTAAAATTGCTTCTTTCCCAGATTAACCAGTAGTTTAGCTGTTGGCGACTGGCAACTAAGGACAGGCGTCTGTTCTAAACATTGAAGGTGAGGTCTAGTCATTTAAAAGCTTCCCTTTTCTTTCTGTTTTAGTTAGACATTGTGCCTTTCAACATTTGGTGTCAGAGGTCATAAAATGGCCTAGTGGCAACTAGGTACCATTCTTGATTGCTTAATTTCATAAGGAGATGCAGATTTGTTTTTGTAGCTTAGTTCTGGAAAATGGTTTGTGGACATAGTATTTGGATTAATGTAGCGTATAGAAATGATTGTTATATATATCTCCAGGATACATGGCTGAATAGGGAAATTATTATAAAACACTGATATCAACATGTAAGTCCAATTCCATAAGTTCAAGTAAAGTGAGTTGTATCCATACTTCTTCCCGTAACCTCATCTGCAACACAGAATTTTTGAGGCTCCTTGGAGTGATAGGCTTTTAGAAAAGCATAATATGGTTATCACATTTAAAAGATAAGTAGCTTATGCCAAAATAGAAGCTCTAGTCACTCGAGGAGTTCAGTCATCACCCTCATCTTAGATATATTTTGTTCTTACCGCTTTCTGGGAGTGTGTTTTAGTGTGTGGAGGGCAGGGATGTTTGGTTTGACTGAATAGCACTGACCTGACCATTAGGGACAGACAGGCCAGACTCATAAAAATAGGTGCAAGCACAGAAGCCAAATGCACCCATTATCAGGACCAGACTTCTAATTGCACTGGATTATCCAGTTTTTCTAGAGTGATGCTTCATTTTTGCCCTTTCAGCTTATAATTGTGAGGCAATTTTAAAGCTTGTTTTAGAAATGGAGCTCTGACTTCAGATGGACAGAGGTGTCCTGACTCTTCCAGATACTGAGTTGATGTAGCCTTGAGCTATTTAAGCACACTAAACTTCAGTTTTTATATTTAAAATTGAAGTAACATACATGTCCTCATATTGTAATCTTTAAATTATTAAATATATTTAGCATGTGATTGGCATGTAGACATTAATGCTAGCTAACAATGGGTGTTTCATTAGCGAATTCATCACCAAATTCTCTTTCTTTTCTTTGTAATTTCTCAAAGTTTTTCCTTTATTTCTGGTTCTACAATCTGGTCCTCTTGTTATTTGCACATGGAGTAATGGGAGTCACATTGACTTTGTAGGCCTAAGTTTCTTTATCATTAAATGAGCATATTGGTCTAATTTCACATTTCTTCTTGTTTTAAAATTCTATTATTTGTAGGTTTATGGCTGTTTGCTTGCATGCATTTGCCTCTCTAATTTATCGTACACATAAATGCTGAAGAAATGCCCTTCTAAAATTTTATGTTACTGTTTTCAGAGGAGACTTTCTTTGTACAGACTTATCAAATATAAATCATTTAAACTGATTCTTTCATTTCCCATTCCAGAAAATTTGCTGTAGATGGCATATGCAGAAATGCTTTACAAACTGTAAAGTACTACACAAATGAAGAAAATCTTATGATGATCACAGATATCTACATCTTGGCTTTTACGTGTTCCATTTTCTTTATTTAAATTGGATTTCCTTTATGTTCTCGTGACCTTCAAAAACAGCATCAAAGCTGGTATTTTTTCAAGAAAGCTTGATTTTTATCACTTTCTTATAGTTACTCTGTTCTATATAATTAACTTCTCTTTCTCTTTCTCTCTCCTTCTTTTGAGAGAGATTATCTTTTTAGTGCATGTTGATTGGTTTTCCTAAACAGATTGGAAAATGCTTGATATGCCATCAACCACAACATTTAGAGTAAAAGAACCTTAAATGATCATTTAGGACAGTCTCCTAAATGTTAATATATACATCAATATTACAGCTGAGCAGACTAAGTCCAGGCAGATGTATTTGGGAATGGGGTTTCTTTATGAGAGTTACTTTTTGTATTGAAAGTTACAATATTACAAAGATATTTTAAATTACAAGAATTTTGTTAAGCTTTTGAGTAATGTGTAAGCTAGTAGGAAAGGAACATTTTTATTTTTTGACCAAAATTTGCTCTCAAATATTGTAAAAAAGTATTAATCAGGAATTAATTAAGGTAATTCTCTCAAAAACTACAAAAGTACCTGCTTTTTTTGTAAGGTCCTCATTCATAGTCAGCAAATTTATTGAGTGTTGTCTCTAAGCCAGGTACTGTACTAGCTATACGTATTACATTTTATAAATGAGGAAACAAGGATCAGGGAAATTAAGTGGCTAGTGTAAGATTGCACAGCTTGTAGGTGTTAGGGATGACATTTGAGTTCAAGCCTGCTGAGTGGAAATCCT